GCGATAGCCGTCAATTCAACGCGCAAAACTTGACATCATGCGCTCAGGGCAAATTCCACGACTGTTTTGATGTTGGTGATTGCGCCAGAAAGTTCTAGAAAATGCGGTGATAGGTTACCGTGAAAAGAGCCAACAAAACTGCCATATTACTCCAAAAAAAGAGTAGGATGGGCGGCGATCAAAGCTTGCAAAGTTTTTAAGGGCGCATAGCAGATTCTTTTGCCTTCTTTATGATATTTAGACCACCTGCTGAATTTCCCCTCTCGTGCTTAATTGCCTACATCTATGCAATCGCAGAATGTGCTTGCAGCGAGTGCATCCCGACGTTTGACGATTTCAGATCCGAAAGAAGTTCTGGAACTTCCAAATCGTCTACACACTCCTGGTTATGCGGACGAGATCCCTAATTCGTCGGCAGTCGACACACCGATACCAACACGACGACGTTTCCCTCCGCTCCAGATTCTGCCCACAAAGGACAGTTTAGAATGTGCTAAACGGTTCAGGTGAGATTTGAAATAATATTCCACAGTTTCTGCTCATATTACTAGAAACATCTTCTGGGGTGACTTGAGCAGAGGTAGCCTTCTATAATCAGTTAACACCATGACTGTGTGTGCACATTTCTGACCTACCATTAGTGAGGTCGAAGAAAACGATTTTTGGTGATAAATTAATGAAGCTCTTTAATGAGTTCCAACATGAGTTCTACGCGTGTCCGAGGTGCGAATCAAACATGGCCAGAGGTTGTTGCATAACATATGACTCCCGTGCGACCGTGACCGCGCCCACTTTTTTTGAAGCTTTCGTCCGGGAGCGCTGAATCAATGAAATTCAGAAAGATTTAAATTTAACAGAACTTACGGCAAGAATATAGGAAAAGATAGCGGCTAATTGGAAGTTTTGTGACAATGTCCGTTTTACAAAAATGAGGTTATTACAACAGCGTTAGTCAATGTTTAATTGCTTTCGGCCTACTATCCTTCTATTATATAAAGCGCTAACTTTGTGTGTCGGTTTGTGTATCTGTATGTGTGTGTGTGTGAGTGTGTGTGTGTGTATGTATGTATGTGTGTCCGTCCGCAAAATGAAGTGAGTGAGAAGGAAGCTCATGGGATAAACAAACCGATAACAGATCGGGTAGCTTACAGGATTTGAGATATCAATGTTTTGTAGCAGGATAGTTGTGATAACACTCTTAGGGCTATATAAACACCTGCTTAGCACACTTCCGTTCATTCCACATGGTGCTGCAGTGGCAGCTGGAGGGCAGTGGAGAGAGGAAGGGAGGATGAGGAAGGGAAGCGAAAAATCTACCGTCATATCATGATTGTGTCCCTTCTACTGTATGAAACACCATTGTGTTGCATACGCGTCACTTCCAGGTGTTGGTGTCACAGGAGGAAGGGACCATAGCGGAGGATAGAAAGCTTGCGCAGGAAGGTCCCGGCGGTTGACGGGGGACTAATCTGGTCGATCTATAAAACTAGGTAACCCGGAGCTCTAGTTATGTGTACAAAAAACAACGATGAGAATACAAAACATAAGAGTTTCAAACTCAGGACTTTAAGGTTGGTCTTATACGAGCTCTCTTCTGAGGAAGGTTTAATATTCGATAAAAAATGATACTTAATTTGCTTTTAGGATACCCTCCCTGTCGATAGTGATTCGAGAGCAGAACAAACAAAATCACGGACCGAACATTGCTACACAACAGAAGGTTCCAATGCCGAAGTACGTTTGACGGTATTGTATAGTAATAATAATAGTTCATCATGATGCCTGGTTCTCTCGTTACATTCTCACGAATCTGGTTCTAGAATTTTCTTTTGAAAAAGCTCAAAAATCTATTATTTATGAACAATTTGTGAACGGCATGCATTGCAAAATCTTAGAATCCAGAAATTCCATGCCATTCTTGACCATGTGCCCTTTTGCCTTTGACACTCATTCAGACTTCCGATTTTGATTGGATAGACATGCATCTCGCATCGGTACTGGCAGTGTTCTCGATTTCTTTCCTAACTGCCCAGACATTAGTCATCAGTTGGTATCAATTTAATGTTGACTTTCTCATTTCAGGTATTTCCGGAGTATTCAAACGAAAGAGAAATTGTATATAATCGAAAAACCAGTAGAAGAAACGAATGAAATTAGTGACGATCATGGAGCTGCCGCTGGACCTTCGAAAAGAGCTCCGGACCAGCCTAGTCAAACAAACGGACACTATCTGTTTGTACAACGTTGGAAAGGTCAGTCAATTTACTTAGAAAGAATTATATCGAAGGACTTTAATTGATGACCCCGAGCGTAATGCTGGCAATGCTTAATGTCACGGCAAATGTCTTTTCAGGGAACGTCTTTCTATTTTCTGGTTTGATGACGCCCTGCCGAGAATTTGTACTTGTTCCGATCATCAAACAACTCAATAAAAATTAAATTACAAAATAAACCATTCCGGAGATGTGTTCTAGAATAATGAATAAGCAAAAAAGTCAATGGATAAAATCCGGCATCTTTGCGGATAACCTTAGCGCAGACGAAATCATCAGCTAAATCTACCTCACTGATGTAGCTGCCGCCTTATTATTTCGTGCATAATGAGCGATAAAATCGCGTAGCACTTACTCACCAGTAAGCTCAAACACAACTTGTCGCATCAGGCCATGACACGATATTTCTTCGATGTGCTACTTTTCCATTTACTTAGCTTCTTGGCGTAAAGATCCGGTTGAAAGGTAAACAACATATACTTACCTATTTCAGGTGAAGCGACGATGTGACGGTTCACGATATGTCGTGAAGCGACCGGCTCGGAATCAAATTCTGAAGAAACGGGCTGCACAGCTTATCCGAGAACGAACAGGCATCAGCACCGATGATGACGCCATGAGCGAGCTGAAAGTATGTCTGGCATTTTTTGAACAAGAGGCGAATAGATTCAAAAAATCAAAAGAACAGCAGAGGTTTTCAATGCTGAAGTAAGGCTTTCAGTAAGAGGAGCGGTAAGGGTGTGCCAGAGGGTGAAAATGTACCTACAAGGAAATAGAGCCTTACGGTAATCCATTATTGAGATAATCACTTATCAAGATTTGGTACTGTGCAATGGGACCATTTGCGTGCATGGACTAGCGATGAAGTCCTAAGTTGGATTCCATCTAGTCTAACCAAGCCTACTTTACCCCCCCCCCCTAGATCAATTGATTCGTACCAGCGTCATTCGGATAAATGAAATGCAATGACTTGTCCATTTGGCCCTACATTTCAATATATACGTCATTTAGACTCGAAAATTATAGGGCTCTTGAAGGAATGTCGAACACATTGCGGATCTTCGAGGGGTCCATTGGTAGATGAGCTATCGCCCTCTCTCGCGCTTTCTAATGAAAAGAGAATCCCTTTAAAAATAAGATGAAATAATTTAACCAAGAAGAAAGGGATAACAATACGGTCGAATAAAGAAGAAGAAAAATAAATATATAAAGAGTAATTTTAATAGAGGAATCTAAAATTCTCCTGTTCCATCATACTAATATGTGCGTGAATCTGAATTTCAGTATTCTTTTCTATTCTCGAGGTTTCCCGAATTATGATTTTTGATTTAGCTCGGACACTTTCACACACGTGAGGAGCGGAAGAAGCATTTGGAAGAGGAACGACGAAGAAAAATTCGTAATCAACAAAAACTCATCGAATCGAAGATCTCGCCCGCCGATCAGGTAGTTCTGTCGGCCTACGGCCGATGTCAGACTTTGCGAATCGAGCGATTGGCTACGCGTGCCCGGTCGGCGTCGCATGCCAGCAATTTCTCGATTAGTTCGTATCGACAACGCAACGCGACGCTAGCGAACGCCTCGATTCACAAAGGGTCTGGACATCGACTTGGACATAAGCATATTTGAACTACCCGTAACCTCTATATGCTAAATGATATGAAATCATGACGCAATCATTTGCAATTTTTTCACACCTACGTTTTTCGTGACGCTGTCAGCTTTTGCATCTCTTAGTGCGGATCATGTCTGATCCGTCCTGCCTCTCCTCCCCTGTTTAACATGATTATGTGTCTGAGAGTGTAACTAGCGGTACGGGACGCGTGCGGTCGCGCGCCACGGTTGCACAAAGTATACGCATTCTCAACGACAACTCATTGCGCGAAAGATTCTTTTTCGGCTTAGTTCATTTAAATACAGAAAGAGTTCACGCACAGAACTGTCAGATACAAACAGCGTCTCTAGAGAAGCGTTCGTAGTAACTACTGTGCCTTTCAGATGATCGTGCAGTTATCTCAGCGAAAAATGCAACGTCGTAAAGAAAAAATGCTGTTGGACGGTTTCGTGACCACACAAGAAGTGCTCAGTCCAACGGATCGGACACACTGCAAACATGGGATTTCTACTCATGTTATACCACCGTCGAGAAGAACACTGTTCAATGAGAGATTATCAACCGAATAAACCTGGGATAAACACTGTGATCAGGAGGCATAATGCAACTTTGGAGCATAACATGCAATCTAATGTGCTATTTAGGGTGTTGTAATGGACCCTAAAAATTATTATTGATTATTATTTATTATGAAAGAGAATAAATATTGCCTTTTATGTGTACGTGTTAGTTGTTATCACTGTTTTACACATAGAAATGTGAAGTAATGGCAGTGGTAGTTGGAAACTGATCCCAACATTGGTGGGTTTCTGTAATTTATTAAGTAATTCACATACCCTCTATTTCGGGAAACGAGAAGAGCGTCGAGTGCAGAACACACACCACAATTTACGACGGTCAAGGAAAAGAAAACAAAGACCACTTTTTCCGTTCGTCACTCATGATGTGTGGTCTGCATTCGAAGCTCTTCTCGTTTTCTAAAATAGAGGGCATGTATATATCCAGACACTACGATCTCGAATGGAAGCCAAGAGCGTAGCGCATCTCAAAATGTACCTGAGGTACTTATCCTCTTGAACTCGGTCCTTTGAAGTGCCCTAGCTTGTGCTCTCGTCTGTGATCTCTCGTCTAGACGGCATCCAATGATCCACTTTGATCCCGCCAGCAGTCAAAATTTTGCCACACTGTTACTAGGTCACTAACGCGAAGTCTTCCACTCAAGAACTAGCACTTAGGGTTTTCGGTTTCCTCCTTCGAGATTTGGGCGCAAGTGGTGTAGTGAGCAAGTGGCGCGCTTACCACGCGAGCGGTCCGGGGATCAAATCCTGGGTCGTGAGTCGCCCGGGCCAACCAAGCCTTCCATCCCTCCGGGGTCGGTTAATTGGTACCAGACTTGTCTGGGAGGATAAAAACACTGACTTGAACATCGGCTGGCCCCCGCAAGTCATTGTATAGGCCACATCGCATTCAAACGCCACTACGAATACAAATGGAAGTAGAATGCGTGCCGCATCCCAAAAGGGATTGATCAACGGCAAATGCTTTATCCTTTATCCTTTTTTTTCAGAATTTTGGAGCCCGAGCCACTGAGCTTTTCCTCTAATCGTCTGTGCTCCTGCAATTCGCGCCAGAGAACATTGAGAAAATTTCAAGTAGTCACGTAATCAGTTGTCAGATCATCAGACTAATAGCTCAAGAGAAATATTTTTCGTCCGTATTGTGCAATAACACTGTACAATTGATCATAGGCATGGTAGAATAGTTGCGGGAAGTCTTCCATAAGTCTAGGCAGTCTGTTCCCAAAGAGATAGCCATGAGCGAGAAGGTGTAACATGAATGGCTATGTCAG